TCCTCTCTCTCTCTCTCTCTCTCTCTCTCTCTCTCATACACACATAGAGAGAGGTTTGTTTTATTTGTTGTGCTCTCCCGTGTTCTCTGTCCGGTCTGCTTGCCCTTCAATCCTAAAAGGTGAGAGGAATCCTCAGAACGAAAGGTAAAGAGCCACTAAGAGAAGCTTTTACATTAGGTTGGTCCTTGTGGTGTTTGCTTGGTTTGCAAACCCATTAATGATGTACTGGTGTGCTTGTCCGAGCTGCTTATGGTTTGTAAGAGGATTCACAGCAAAGCCAATGTCTCAGAGAGAGCTAGAGAAGATATCAAACACAGTGTCTATCAGAATCTTCTTTGGACATTCTGACGTTTTAGTCTCTTCTCATACCTGATACAGATTTACCTTCCCCTCCTCCGGAGCCTCCCGCTGCTTGCACGAGGCCATGAGATAAAACGTGACCTCTCCTTGGCTCCTTTCAAACGTCCTGCCGTCTACTCCCCGCAGAATCTGCTTGTTTGTCTTCCGTCAATTTTGTTTGGGACGCATGAGAGACTGTTGGGTGGACTCTAGTGTTTAGCTCAACCAAGATGACAGTGGTTTCTTGTCTTCCCTGGATGACGATAGCAGCCAATTTCTTCTCCTTTTGAGAGCGACGAGCCTCAGTCGTGCCAGAGAAAGAAGACAACTATACTATGTATGATTTCTCTTTCAGATTAAGCTCCACAAACCTGCTTGTTAAGCTCAGAGCCCCTCGGCTTCCGTCATTGTCACTGACCTGACCAGTGAAGGTTTCTCGATTTCTAGCTTCATGATAGAAGGAGATCCTCCCTCTCACTGGGCTCGAAAACATGGCGTGGAGAAAGCAGCGCTTGCTCTGAGGTGATAGTACTTGGTGGCCTTTGCTGGTGTGCTAGGCGGAGATCAGGTGATGTGTAGAGCAATGGACGTAGGTACCATCCATGAAGCGTTGTCGCCGAAGCACCTCAGGAAGCAGCTCGCTGCCACAGTTAGGGAGATCCAGTGGAGCTATGCAATCTTTTGGTCTCCCTCCACGGGTCAACCAGGGTAAGGAAACTGCTCCAACTCGCTGGTGACACGCTCGAACAATTCTACTGTCTTTGTTCGATGACTGCCTTTTGGTTCCGACTGTGTTCTTCGAGGATAATACTCCAAATCTCTCTGCATCTTCTCTCAGTGTCTTGGCGTGGTCCGACGGGTACTACAATGGTGATATAAAGACGAGGAAGATGACGCAGCCAATGGAACTTAAAGCCGATCAAATGGGCCTTCAGAGGAGTAAGCAACTGAGAGAATTGTATGGATCGCTTTCTGCGGGAGATAACAATCAGCAGACCAGAAGGCCTTCTGCTTCACTGTCTCCTGAAGATTTAACTGATGCAGAGTGGTATTACTTGGTTTGCATGACCTTCACATTCACTCCTGGACAAGGGTACAGTCTCTTTCTCTCTGCCATTAGTTCTTTGAGCTCATGTTCGACCGAACAGAGTTCATAGCATAAGAAGGTGTAAAAGTGAGCGGAAGCATTCTTATCTGCTATGTTAGATGTTGATGTCAATATCATTCTGCTGCTATTTCAGATTGCCCGGTAAAGCCTTCGCGACCAATCAGCACATCTGGTTGAACAACGCTCAATTCGCGGATAGCAAGATCTTTTCGCGCTCTCTTCTAGCAAAGGTAGATTCCATAGACCTTATTTAGGCTCTCCGAGGTCAACTCTATGATTATATTAGTCCCAACAGAAGCTAATGTTCGTCTACTTTTCATTTCTGATATGTCGGCCTCCGGCATGGATCATTCAGAGTGCATCTATTCAGGTAGGATCGTGGTCTTGGTTTCCAGTTGATCTCTATGTATCTGTGTCGATTTCACATTCGCATCTGCTCCCGTTTCGCTCCTTCTGCAGACTCTGGTTTGCATCCCCTTCGCCGGCGGCGTATTGGAGCTCGGAACAACCGAAAAGGTGAGTTCAATCGATCGGTTGTTCCTCTCTTCGAGCTAGACTTCTCGTACAGCTACGTCTCAATTAATTGGATGTCGCTTATTCCAAGGTTTTGGAGGATCCTGCTCTCATCAAGCAAATCTCAAGTTTCTTCCGGGAGATGCCGAATCCGGTTGGCTCCGAGAAATCGGCATCCAGTCCGCAAATGACTGAGAACGATGAAGACATCCTGTGCCCCAGTCTCGATAATGATGTGGACAGTTCTATGGCTTTGGAAGAGCATGATCTGATGAGTGGTCGTCAAGCGGCAACGGAGACCGATCCAACGCATCTTCCGTTTGGTCTTGGTTCATATGCTGCAGCTGCTGAACACGCACAACCGGTCCAAGACAAGGTTGAGGAACCAGAAATAGTTTCTCCTGATGACAGTTCGAATGTGTACTGCCTCAATCAGCCGCGCGAAGATTCATTCGGGACCGATGGATTGACCGGCATATCTCGGACTCAGAATCCATGGCTTGGAGCTTTGAACTCCAATGAGTGCCTCCCGATGCCATGTGTCGGTGCCCAAAGAGTTGTCACTTCCGCGAAGAAGGAAATCGTAAGCAATCAGATGCTTGATGGCATAGAAGAGGGCAACTGCAGCAAGCATAATTCGCTGGAACTCGACGGCGACGGCTCGCGTTATGCCAAGACGGTAGCAGTCATCTTAAGGAACTCGAAGCCAGTTTTGTTCTTCCTGACAATTTCTCGTGAATCCAGTTTTGTTGTCTGGAGAAGAGGTTTGAGCACTCCAAAGCCATTCACTGGCACGCCTCAGACTCTGCTGAAGAAGATTTTGATGGATAGAAGATGGTTGCACGGCGGTCACATGGAGAAAGCTTGGAGACCAGAAGGAGAGTCTGGTGGAAGCTATTTATTGTCCGAGATGAGAAGGGAGAAGCTGAACGAGAAGTTTGTGGTTCTGAGATCATTGATTCCTTCTATCAGCAAGGTAATCGGACCTGTTTCTTCTGGCTTATCTGCGTTCTCTCATAGTGCTGTTTCTTCCTTCATCAGGTCGACAAGGCATCCATCCTCGACGACGCCACACGGTATCTGAAGCAGCTGGAGAGACGAGTGCAGGAGCTCGAATCCTGCCGGGAGACAGCAGAGCTCAGCGGCAGAGACAGAAGGAAGCAGCATCCTGACGTATCAGAGAGAACATCGGACAACTACATCCACAGGGAGATCACCGACGGCAGGAAGGCGTCGGCCAACAAGAGGAAAGCACGCGACATGGACGAAGCAGAGGCCGAGCACGAGCACCACTGCGTCGAAGTCAGTGTGACGATGAAGGAGAAGGAGGTGGTGGTGAAGATGCACTGCCCATGGCGGGAGTACCTGCTGCCGGAGATCGTGGAGTCCATGAGCAACCTCCATCTGGATCCTCTGTCGGTGCAGTCGTCCACCGTCGACGGCATGCTTGCGATGACGGTGAAATCCAAGGTTTGGATCCACCCAAATCCCACACAACATAACCGCATTCGCTGGTGTCCTCTTGGGTTGCTGACATTCTTCTGGTCTTCGCTGCAGCTCCGAAGCACCACCGTGGCATCTCCGGTGATGATTAAGCGATCGCTTCAAAGAGTGATCGGCAAATGCCTCTAATGCTTTCGGTTGGTTGGTGACGACTCTCCATTGGCGGCTACCGTACGATGCGGACTTCAGGTGCCCGCTTTGAGCCATGGCAACATTAGCAATGGGAACTGAAACCTGTAGTTTGAGTAAAAGCATGAATCGATGTGCCTTTTGTAGCAGACCAATTAAGATTTTAGAACTCACAATTAGCTCTGCATATATTCTATTGGGCTTTTACGTATAAACTGACATAAATCTTCCCACCGCCTCCCCTCTCTCATCAGTAAAGGAGAGGCTGAGTGGGGAAGGAAGAAGAAGAGGAATAAAGGGGAAGGAAGAGGTGAGAAAGAAAAGAAACATAAAATAAAGGATCGGGTGTGAGAGCAGAGAAGAGAAAGAAGAAACAGAGAGAGAAGAAGAAGAAGAAGGAAAAAGAAAGGGAAGCGAGAAAGGAGAGAGAGGAGGGAGATCTCGGCTGTGCGAAGATGAGAAGGGAGAAAGAAGAAGAAGAAGAAGAAAACTGAACAGAAGAGGAGGAAAGGCATCAGCTGTGGAAAAAGGAATTAGAGGAAAATTATGGATGACTCCATTGGATATCAAATGAATTAAGTTCCATCAAAATTATATTAGGTATGGGTTTTATTTATTTATATTAATTAGATTTGTATATTAGATTATAGATTAATTAATTTTGATGTTCTTAGTCAATTTGATATCTATGTTATCAATGAAATAAAAGAAGAGAAAATTGATTGTTTTGAGAAAAATAAGGAAAAAAATATTTACATGCCATCAGGATAAATAAATAAATAAATATATGATGATTCCGTCTCGTTTATTTTAAAAATATATGTATATATATATATATATATGATATTTATAAATATATATGATTTATTTAATTTAAAAGTCAATTTATTATGTAAAAGTTTAAATACTGATAGTTTGAAAAAACATATGGTTTGAAATTTTTTTAAAGTATTTTTATGTTATTTTAGCAGAATTTATATGAAAATGTTTGATATTATATTTAAAAAGGATTAAAAAATAATGTATGATTTCATTTGAAAAGATATAAAAAAAATATTTGAACTCTCAGTTATATAAAAAAAGTAATTATTTTTTTTTTCGTGATATGATAGTTGTTTGATCAGTATAACTTACTTACACTTGTAAATCATTAGCTATATTTATGCTTAAATTATGAAAAATAATTGATGAGGGTGATAATTACGATAAGACTTGCGTGACACCCGCTGACACCCCGCGTCTCTATCGGACTGACAACGCGTGGCTGACACGGGTCGTAACGCCAACCGAGGCCCATTAACGATTGCTCAGGCTCGATGCCGCACGCCATGCCAACAGTGTCAGACGTCATCAGAAGGTATGATCTTGGCCCCTGCGAGTAGGCACGTCAGGTAACACCAAACTCCCCTATAAATACCCTTGCATTCTAAACAAGAGAGGGAGGGAGGGAAACGTACACAACCACCGGCTAACTTAATCATCGGAGGGGTCGGGTCGAACATCCCGACCCGACCTGCGTGCAGGAACGAAGACGAGGCGCCTCTCTCCGGACGCGTTGGCAAGGAGCCCCTTCCTGAAGGAAACAGTGACCCGTCATCCGGACCCGAAACAAGCCGCGTCGGCCCCGAGGCCAAGGCTAAAAAGTTGTTTACACTAACTAACAGTAATAGTAGTCTTTATACTATAATATTTAAGGTTTGATATGTAACATTAACTATACCAATGATTTTATGATGAAAATATATGTAAATACATCTTGGTTTGAAAAGTATTATTAAGAAGTCATGGGAAGATATTTAAATATTTTATATTAAGAAGGTATGATTTTGAAGTGCATGCGACGTTTAAATTTTTATAGATTGTATGAGCATTAAAAAAGTATTTGATATTCATGCATATTTCGAAAGTATATATTAAATGCATAAAAAAAAAATATTTTTTTAATATTTATTTATGATAAATTTTAACTAACATATTATTCAAGATGCTTATTGAACTATGTTTTACTCATATAATTATCCTTTAATATTTTAAAGTTGCTCGAACAAATATGAATTAATTACTCATTGAATATTATGAAATTTTAAGGAATTATTGAATCAATTGTATGGGTGGATTGGTTGTTGATTGAGATATGTTATTAATGTCATATTTATTGATTAATTATGAACTAAATTATATAATAAATATTATATGATAGGTAAAATAATGGCACTGTCAACTCACCCTATCACCTGAAGTTACCTCAACCGTAGCTAAGGGAAGACTTGCATGCATGCATTGAAGCTCGACGACATGGTACAACTTCCCCAATCCTATCTTCCAAATGAACGACATACGAAGCTATTCTCTACTTGTCCCGGATAAGCTCAAAGCCCTAACAAAGCATATCATCATAGGTGTTCTATCATGATGTTATCTTTCAAAGAACACAATCATCAGCTATCATCATCAATGATCCCTTAGTAAGGTAAGGGACACCCTAACTCATCCTTCGCTAGCTTCATGCCATCGATCGCTCAGGTATAAAATCCAAGCCCTCAAGCTAAACGAGAGAAAACAGACTCTATCTCAACACTCTTGAGCCTTACTGAACCCCCTCCACTTTATTGACTCGAGCATCGATAGATCGGATCAAGACATTCCCCCGTATCGATCGTTTGTGTAGGATCCAAGTACATCTAAAGAGTACCTTAGAATGACGCTAAGCGTTTTTGGAAGGTCAAGCCACATCTCGGGATGTTCTTGAACTTCCTCTAGCATACAAGTAGACAATCGTGAGTCAACCATTAGGAGCCTCTAAATGTCTCGGGAGTCCACCTACCTCCTCGGTTGCATGCTCGAGTCATCTTGTTCGCTCCGACGTGAGCTCTTAGGATGAATTTTTATGTTTTCGATATTGAATCAGGCCGACGGTCAACGACACAAAGATAATAATATTATATAAAAATATTTTAAATTATATTTTTATAAAAGAAATTATAGGATTACGACATTACCATCCCGACTTTCCATCGCGTTAGGAGCGTTAAATCTCATGTACAGGCCATCGAATAACTTTTGTCTCCTTGAAGCCGCCCCCGTGGCCGAAAGGTCCATAAAAGGACAAGAAATGGACGGTTCTGATGGCGAAATGGCCGTCGGGCCCACTTCACGTCACCCATTCCACCTACCGGTCAGTAGCTGCGTCTGCCACGTTCTTTTATTCCGCGAAGGGTCCCAGTAACGGATCCGGGTTCTTGTCCCGCTCCACGCATCCTCAACCCGCTTACTGAACCATCCCTTCTCACCCTTAACGACGGCTTACAATATTGGAAATCCGAATCCGAAATCTCAATCCGCATCAGCAAACCTGTGGCTGGTGGATTCCGCGGTCACATAGACCGGCCAGTTCTTCCATCCATCTTCTTCTTCTTCTTCTTCTTCTTCTCTCTCGCCGGGGTCCCCAAAAAGGTAGTCAAGTTCAACTTTTTCTCCTTTTTCTCCCTTTGCTGGATTCGATTTCAATTCTTTGGGAAACGTTTCCGTCTCTCTCTATCTCTCCTCTAAGTGAGTAAGCAACTTGTGGAATTCGATCGGCGAGGAGGATGCACACCTCCAAGCTTCTCCGCTTCTCTTCTCTATGTGCCGCCATCTGCTTTGGCTTCCTCCTTGTCCTCGATTGACCCTTCTTTTTTCCCTCGAGCGTACATGATGATGAGTGCACTCTGGGTGGTGCTGATGTTGCTGGGAGTTACTCCATGGAGGAGCATCCACTGCCTCGAGGTCAAGCAGGAGAAGAGGCTGCTAGTAGCCATGACTCTTGTCCCCCACGCAGGTTCCACCGGAGCAGGCCAGTCTCCTTCCTCTCTCTCTCTCTCTCTCTCCCCGTTGCACTTCAATTATTTGATTGCCGACGGTGGTCCTTTGAACGAGAAAGAGATCCAACACTGGCCCAGCACAAAACGTTTGACAGCACACCGGCATTGAATGAGACTGTCGATTGATTGATGCAGTGTGCCTGGACGGGAGCCCACCGGCTTACCACCTCCACGAAGGGCTCGGCAGCGGCGCTCGCAACTGGCTGCTGCAGTTCGAGGTAAAGGTCAACACCTGGTCAACCAGCCATGTTTTCTTTGCATCGTGCATTTGACTTAATTGTCAACTGAATCGGTCAATCCTCTCTACAAACACACCGATAGATACACTTTGAGCAGTCCGCAATACTTCCTCGTCTTTCTGATGATTAAAATGTAATTATAATCCTCAGAAACCCACGGAAAATACCATTCATATGCAAACCACCCAAATAATAATATTATTATTATTATAGTTGGAATTTCTAAAACCATTAATGCAAAATAAAGTTTCGATCTTTGTTATCGATAGTCAAAGTTTTCATCACATAAGCCCGTTGACATACTTTTGGTGCAAATAGGAAGATGATTGACTTTGTAATGTTCATTTGAATTTGGAGGGAGGAGGGTGGTGCAATGACGTGGCGTCGTGTGCGGCGCGGTCAAAGACGCGACGGGGGTCAACCCGGTACATGAACAAGCTGGAGGTGTTCTCCGGGATCCTAAGCAACGACTCCACCGCCAACCCCGGTCTTCAGCCCTTCCCCTCTTCCCTTCCATCGTCGAAACACGCAGCTGCTGTTGTTTCCGACATTACCTTTGGATCGAGTGACCGAAACCTCTTCTTCTTCTCTTCCTTTGGTAGACTTCTACGACTGGAACCGAGTGAAGCTTCGCTACTGCGATGGCGCCTCCTTTGGTGGCGACTCGGAGTTCCTCAACAGCGTAAGCCATCTCGACTCGGCTCCTTTTATCTCACGCTAAGCTTGCTTTGTCCTTGTGTGATCGTGTTGGGAGATCCTCTTGTGTGCACAACGATGATTCATGTGCTTTCAGACGACTGCTCTTTACTTCAGAGGGCAAAGGATATGGAAAGCTATTGTTCTTGATCTTCTCCCGAAAGGCTTAATCCAGGCAGACAAGGTAAGATCCAGTCACTAACTTTTGCCTTGAGAAAGCAAATTCCATGTTCCGATTCTGTAACTCTTTCATGTCTCTGCAAGAAATCGATGTCTTTGTAGTTCAGTTCAAATCAAGAACAACAATCCATGTGACTCTGCGCCTACAATTCAGGCAGACCATCATGCTTTTGTTCATGTTGTCTATTGATTCCAATCCGTAGGTATTGCTTTCAGGCTGTTCTGCCGGGGGTTTAGCTACATTTCTTCATTGCGATGATCTCACCAGGTTCGTACCAGAGACGGCCACCGTCAAATGCATAAGCGACGCCGGGTTCTTCCTCGATGTGTAATGCTACCATTTGTACCTCGATTCATGTGTGATTTGGATGATGCTCTTCACTAATGTTTCTAGTTCTTGGATTGGCAGGAGAGATGTCTCAGGACAGTACACCATAAGATCCTTCTTCAGTAGCCTTGTCAGTCTGCAGGTCAGATTTCTGCTGCTGTTTGTTCTTTCTTTGACATTTAGGTTTGCAAAACTGGATGTTGTGCCGCAGGGAGTGCAGAAGAATTTGAATCCAAATTGCACATCTTCTTATGGCCTTTTTGCCTATCAGGTCCCCAAAATTCTCTCGACTTCCCGAGTGTTGATAGTATGAATGAAGTGCAGAAAGTTGTGATACTGATGATGACACTATTGTGCAGTGCTTCTTTCCACAGCATGCATTGAGCTACATCAGAACACCATACTTCATCTTGAACTCAGCTTACGATGTATACCAGGTAAGTCTGCATCATCCGCTTCTTCTACATCTCATGCATCCTCCGACATGATGTTGTCACTCGGAGACTTCGATTTCGATCACTCATCCGAGACTCTACGCCAAGCAGTTCCATCATATATTTGTGCCACCATCCGCTGATCCACGAGGACGCTGGTACAGCTGCAAGCTAAATCCAATGGCGTGCAGCCCAATCCAAATAGCTATTCTGCAAGGTGAACACTGCCTTCTTTCTTTTCGGATATGGAATTCTGTACTTGACAATTTGCATCATTGCTTCTGAACTTTGTATTGTTCTACACATGAAAGTTTGATTACCGAAACATTTTCGATGAAATTTCCTTGATGAATTTATGCAGTAACACACCAATACTGCAACCGCTTGGTTTCAGGTTTCAGGAATGAGATGCTCGAAGCTCTCGAATCATTTGAAGGATCACAAAATGGTGGGCTGTTCATAAACTCCTGCTTTACGCATTGCCAGAGTGAACTGCAAGAAGCATGGTTTGGCCCCAGTTCTCCAAGACTGCACAACAAGGTATTTGCTTCCGTCCTAAAATATATTGATGGCCTTCACTGCAACTAAATAGACGCACCTGTGCTCTTCTTCCTCAGACTATTGCGGAGGTTGTTGGTGATTGGTACTTTGGCAGAGGGATGGCCAAGGAAGTTGATTGTCCATATCCTTGTGATTCCACATGTGACGACTTGATACCATCAAATCAGGTAAAGAAACTTTTGTTCTTAGAACTCAAACAGACGTTGTGCCAGATGCAAACTATGACTTGCTATTGAATTTAATTTTCCAGACACTTGATGGATAGGATTCCTTTACTGACAATGTATGCTTTAGGCCGCAGAGAAAATTTCAACACAATCTAACACATTAATGTCATCTATTTTAGGTCTTGGAGGGGTCACAAGAATCCATGCCAAAAATAAATTGGTAGAAGGGAGCTTGCTTCTTTGGAATTGAGTATAGAGAACACCCACCCATTAAACAATCAAATCCACAAAGTAGTTGGTCAAGTCAATCCTACACTGCTTCCTTATTGTCAGGACATCGAAAAGTCTGATTTGGGTTGCAACATACATCAAGTGTGTGTGTGTGTGTTATGGTTTATTTTGTTTAGAAATTATCATCAACATTTAATTGCTTTCACATATTTATTATCTTAGTCTCATCAATATTCTTTAATCGATCTCACAACAAAAAGACAACAAAAGATTCATGTAACCCATAGCCGATTCTAGATAGTTAAAACTTCTAATTTTTGTTATTGTATATTTACTGTCTCGTCTGCAGGGAAGGGAGGTGCCTTCGACAACCCCACTTCGTATATGCACCATTGGATGCCCGCTGTTTGTGATATGTCTCCTGTTGCCGCTCATGATAATTTGATGGATATGGTCTTTGTATTTGATTCATCTCAACTTATGATACACATTATCTGAGTAAAGACAGATCATTTCCATACCTATGTTAAGACATAAGAGGTTTATATGTACAATCATTATGGTAGCTTTTCAAAGGTAATACATATCACTTAGCCAATGAAGGACACTGTGCCTGGCAGCGATTCACGAGTATACATTGCATAAGAAGAAATTGTTACGTCAACATGCCTGATATATGAGGCATGATACAAAAATAGAATCTACTCTGCTGTGTCAGTCACTCTCGGTGGATATTGCAAAGCTGATATATGAGGCAAGGGAATAAATGCAAAGACAAATACTTATTAAGACAACAATCAATCAATATGAAATCGATATCAGAATCAGAAAAGAGGGAAACTTGTAGGAAAACGGACGTGCATCCATTGCCTCTCATAAACAGCCACATGTGTCCATCCAATCTGATCAAGTAATTGAATCTTCAGATCATAAAGCTTTTTCTTTGGTGGTTCTGCCTCGCCCTCGATCATATTAGTTAGAACCTGAAAAGCTCCACATAATCAGCATGTTAATCTAGCTCATTTGTAAATCTGTAAACTAAATATTATTTGATTCACAAGAATAATTATGAGCTAATTCTGATCTACAGTTTCTCTATGCAACTCATTAACTTTTATCTTATGAAAGTGAAACAATCAAATTGAAAATTAAATGCTTGTTGAAAAGTTCAGTAAACATGATCTGCAGCAAACATTATAAATGATTACACCTCCTGATAAACTTTTCATGCATCATCCTAAACTACATATAAAAAGTAGTGGCCAATTGTGGTCGAATCATTAGAAATCACTTAAATATAATATACCATACTTTTGCCAATAGCAGCACAGTTGGGATAAAAACTTGAGAAAAGAGAACTAAAACTTTCCACTAGTTCCATCAGAAAAAATCAGTTTATAGTTCGCACAGTGTTGAGTTACAAGGAGCTATCACATGACATCACATTCAAGAATCCAACCATATCAAGAATTAATCAACAAGCAGTTAACTGGCACAAACTTGACTAACATAGCGTTTTGGGAGCATGATCAGAATTTTCCGTATACAATTGGACCAGAAAACAAAACTGTATTACCATTTCGTATTATTCTTAAAGCAATTTATCATAGAATTCCAATCCTATATGAACCAATTTAAAGCAATAAATGTGAAAAAAGAACTAGTTAAAACAAACACAGTTCTGTGATCATATTAAGCAAACAAAACAACCATATATGACCTACACTTGCTTCATCAATCTGTGGTCAAGAATGCTTCATCAATCTGTTTCTATTTGCTTAAAGAAACTCCCAGTCTGCGGGGCAATTAAAGTAGACATCCTCAAAGCAAGGATCTAAATGCTGGCAGGCATATTACATGCTGCCAGCAAAGAAAGGCATCTTAAGAAAAAGAAATTATATATGTTATGTAGAGCATAAACCTTCTTGTACCTAGCGATTATTCTTCCCTATTAGATGTCCAACAGTAACTACTATACAGGAGTTCCATGCTTAACCACTTTGAGATGAAGATACCAATCATAATGAATACCTAAACACCAATTATGTGTCGCATTTGTTTCATCTCAAACACCAAATTTCAAATTGGCCTTTTTATCTAAATGATAATGCAGATCCACAAGCCTTATTGTTATTCCCAATTTGTTGCTGACAATATCATAATATTAAAAGACTGACGACATACCATGCTTCCCTCAATACCCATTGATGTAAACTAACTGCAATAATATATTGAATCAGAGTACAGTTTGAGCTTTTCTACTGAGACAAATTGAAGTCCAGGGGCCAAATAAAACTCATCATTTAGCTATATATTTATTTCAACTAGTGCCTTGTCTAGGAACATAGGGGGTATTAATTGACGTAATGCGAGCTATGGGACAAAAGATCTTCTTATATCATCCTTGTGAAGCTGGACAATGTCTCATAGGCTAATTGTTGACCAGAATGATTGTTATTCTGATAAACACAGTGGAGAGCTATAAAAAAAATGTGTTTGTAACAACTTTGTAGAGCTAAAAAATGTTTCATAAGGCTAATAATCAGTCAACTATCATCCTGAAGAAACGTTAGTGTACTGACTCAAAAATCTGAAAACATGAAATACAGTTTTGAGTTTGGATAGGAAGAGCAAAACTCAAAGCGCCCAAAGATCTACTGAAGTTCCATAAACAAATTATGACAGGCTGTCAATCTGACACAAATCCTCTCCAGTTGGAGATAAATTATTAACCAATGCAAGTTAGATCTATTGAAGTTCCAAAAGCAAATTATGTCGGGGTGCAAATAACTCTAAAACAACTACCTTATTGTTGCAATGTTAGTCTATGAACTTGAGGAAAAACGAGAAAGTTCGAATGGACATGAGAAGAACGGTCAATGACAAGTTCTTCAATGAATATTGTCCATTCTGTAGGCACAATGTTAAAAACAAAAAACACTAAAAGGCTTCATAAATGATCAATTAATTGCCCAAATTTATGTTTCATACACTTTCTTTTCCCAATAACTATACGATACAAAGTTAATGAGACAACTTCTATTTACTTACCATTCATGTAATACAAACACATATTTACATACAAATGAAAATTTACAAAAGGATGAATCATAGTGAAGGAGGAGACAAAACATACCAAAAAATACTTAATGGTTATAGTTAAAAATTTGCAAAATTTACAAATTTTCCATGGGTTATAACGTGATCTATTTGATATCAGACACTCTGCCTGCCTGAACATGTTGCTGGTCACTAGACAGACAGATGCACTGTTTTCCAGTGGATGCACATTACCAAAACATATCCCAGGTTCACATGGAACACTTAGGTCCTCTTTATAGTCCCTTTTCTGAACAAAGTAAAACGCGATAGAAGGAAACCACGGGCTTCTTTAAGAATTCCATTTTGCACTTTCTATTTCTAGGTTCTTAGCAAATAAGTGGATGCTTAGAATACACCTTAAGAATTAAACTATCAAAGAAAAAACACAAAATAAGCGGAACAGTCAACAAATTATACCTTTAAAGCAGTTCCAAGCCTTCCACAACGTCGCTCACGTACCACCAACAGCATGCAGTACTTTGTGGATTTGATGTCCACCCACTTCTTCAACTCTTTTAATGTTTCTTCAAAAATGTCAGGTTCATCACTTGGCACATCAAAGTCGGTGCCACTCACAGCTACAGATGTCACCACAGGCTGATCAACCTGAATTAAATAAAAATATATTTAAGAAAACAAGTGGTCTCAATTGGCTATAACCTGAGCACTCGAAGAAACCATTCTCCTAGTACCCAACACGAGATGGTAAAATAGACGAACCAATATAGAAATGATAATGGCATAGCACATATATGCCAAAACAACAAGTTCCGAGAAAAAAGTAGGATAAACTTGTAAGGGATACAGCAACAGAAATTTCTATTTAGGTTTTATTTCACTCAATTTGCAAGCTTCAGGGTGGTAAACTAGATTGGTAACCCTATTAATAAATAATGATACAGTGAGTAATAAGGCAAGCATTCTAACTAATATATAAGAAAAGAAAATACATAAGACTCTTGCCAATGCAGGCTTTGAGGATGATTAATATACACATCCTTCTCTCTATATTAGAAAGGTTGTTTCCGAGAATCAAACCTTAGTCTCCCAGGTTTCATTGGAGCAATTTTACCATTATATCAAGGCCAGTCATCTAAGCATCCTAACTTACTAGTATAGAAGGAAGCTATCCTAAAAGCTTAACGAGACCAAAAGAGCATACTTGAGAAGTCTTGAGAAGTATTAATCAAGTACGAGTATATTAAGAGATCAAAACTATTGTAACTACTAAATAAGGTACACTTATCTGAAGTATTTAACAAATGTCCACAAAATCATTGGTCTGAACAAGGAACTGATTGAGCATGAGCAATGAAGATGACAATTTTCATTTTACAGTAACAATAACTCTGAACATATAATAAGAACTGACATATATTAGAAAGGTTGTTTCCGAGAATCAAACCTTAGTCTCCCAGGTTTCATTGGAGCAATTTTACCATTATATCAAGGCCAGTCATCTAAGCATCCTAACTTACTAGTATAGAAGGAAGCTATCCTAAAAGCTTAACGAGACCAAAAGAGCATACTTGAGAAGTCTTGAGAAGTATTAATCAAGTACGAGTATATTAAGAGATCAAAACTATTGTAACTACTAAATAAGGTACACTTATCTGAAGTATTTAACAAATGTCCACAAAATCATTGGTCTGAACAAGGAACTGATTGAGCATGAGCAATGAAGATGACAATTTTCATTTTACACTAACAGTAACTCTGAACATATAATAAGAACTGACATGCATAACTTTGGACACATCGAACACAGGAAGGCTTTAAAAGTCAATGTGGCAGAGGGAGAGAGGTACCACAGATCATGGATTTGTTGTAATCAAGATAGAGGAGAGGGGTGATACAGATCATAGTTTAGTGCAAGCAGGCCACACAATGACATCAAGTTTGTCACTCTTGCTTCAACCAGCAAAGCAATGAGCTATGCAACCTCATAAGAGACAGAAAGGACAAATAGAATTGTACAACTAATTATAGGAAGGTTTAGGTCATATGGTTTGAGAAATTAACACTGAACATGCCAACTCAAAAGATTTAGGTCATAAGGTCTAGGTCATAAGTTCCTACAAGCATAGCTTTAACTTTTGCAATAATTGGGAAAATCCTTGATGCATAACAAAGATTTATATAATACATTTGTTGGCTGGTCCAATAGAAAATTGATATCTGAACTATAAGATCCTAAACTCAGTGGAATTGCGCCATTCAATATTTATTCTCTTACATCATGGAGTAATAAACAGTACTTGGATGGATCATGCCACTTATTTCAAGGGATTGGATTTAGTGAGTCAACAATGAAGAAAAAAG